GTGTAGGGAGAGCGAGGGCTTGTCTGTTTGTGGTTTCCAGGTCATGGTGGCAGCTGGCAGGAGCTGCTCAGTGCACGCGTGCGTCAGTCGTGAGCTGCAGATTAAGGGACTCTTCTTAGCACGCTTTCTGAGAATCGCCCCTGGCCCCACCCTCATCCCATCCAAGTGCTCGGGCCAATCTGTTCCTCAGTCGGGGCCGTGTTCACAGAACAGTGTTCAGCTCTAATCCTAATATATAACCACAATTCTATTTTAACATCAGAGCGTTACGTACCTGATTTAAGTGTGATGTCATACATAAGACCATTGACAAGTATAGTTCAATCACTGAGCACATTTTTGCATACCAGATACTTATGTAACCTAAATACAAGGAGTCCAAAGGGGTATTTTTCAAATTTAATATATTTAAAAAAATAATAATAAGTTACAATATGGTTAAATTCATGAAGTTTTCAATTTTACAACATTTATTAATTTATAAATATAATAATGTTCGATGTTAATTCAGAAAATATTAAATAATGTCAATTTATGCAACTTGAATGTTAAAAGTTCATTAGTAAATGTAGAAATTGATATTAACCTAGGCATATAAATAAATATAAATACAATAAAAATGCTTTTGTTCTTTGTTAGTACATAGCAAAGGCAATAACTAGTGTTAACAATTTATTATTTATTGTAAAGTGTTACCAATATTTAAATTAATTATATTTTCAGTCCTACTGTTATGCTATTGATTAGTAATTAGTATGGGGGGGGTGTATTCTGAATTTCAGAATTTCCTATTTTATACGTCCCAATTTTGCCATAATATCAGCATGCAAATTTCCAGTGTGTACTGTATATTTGACAAGAAAATACTATTTACGTTTTTCCTACTTCAAAATGTCCTGTTGTTACTTGACTTTTCTGAGTGATTTTTTTTTTTTTTTTGGTGGTCTCATGACTTCTGGACCTCACTATTTATAATATGTAATCACTAGTTACTAGAATATACAGGGTGATAGGATTATAACTTATAATTATTTCATAGTTGCTCAATTTATCTAGAAAATTTGTGATAACCTTGTACACACTTCAGTTAGCCAATGATTAATTTATGTAAGTTTAAGG